GTGGCCCCTCCCCTCATGGCCCCGCCCCGGCCCCGCCCTCCCCTCTCCTCCTCCCCCTGTTCCCTTGTCTCTTCCCCACTCCGCTCGCTCCCGTCGCACCCTCACCTGCCACCCCGCCCCTGGCGCCCTAGGTCACCCGCCTTCCCGGTCCTTTCCGTCTCCCTCTCTGCCAGAGCGTGAGACCCACACCCTCTTGTTGCCTGTCCCGCCTCCTCCGCTCTGCACCCCGTATCTCTGGGTTACCTTGCACCCTCCCCTCCCTTTCTGCCTGCCCCGCTCTCGCCGTCTCTCTCTTTCCCTCCTTTCTGCGCTTTCTCCTTTCTCCCCCCAGACTCCTCCGCCCTCCTCGAATCCAGACACCCCTGAGAAGTCCTAGGCTGACTTGGGAACGAGGGAATCGGGGTCCCGGCCTGGCTTGCTGAGTGCTGTGTGGACTTGGGCAAGGCGCTGCCCCTCAGTTTTGAGTCTCCAGTTAGTATTGGAAATAATTGCTTTCATTTGGAAACTTAGTAACCCAAGACATTCTGCTGAGGGTAGAGTCCTCTGCAGTAATCTAGCTGTTTTTTTTTTCTTTTGATATGAAAATAATCATCTTCAAAAATGTTTTAAAATACAAAGTGAAGGGACGCCTGGGTGGCTGAGTTGGTTGAGCAGCTGCCTTCGGCTCGGGTCGTGGTCCCGGAGTCCTGGGATCGAGTCCCACATCGGGCTCCTTGCTCGGCAGGGAGCCTGCTTCTCCCTCTGCCTCTGCCTGCCATTCTGTATGCCTGTGCTCGCTCTCTCTTCCTCTCTCTATCTGATAAATAAATAAAATCTTTAAAAAAAAAATACAAAGTGAAAAGCGAAAGCCCAATCTCACTCACTTCTCATTGAGCATCTGTCTGCTCTGTGCCTGAGGGTGGGAAAAAAGACGGGATTCCTGCCTTCATGGAACCCGAGAGGGGTAGAAAAAGACCAAGAAATATACAAGATTTCAGATAGCGATGAATACTATAAAGGCAATAAATCAGAATGGCGCCGAGAGCAGTGTGGCGCCTCTGGATCAGAAGGTTAGGGGAGGGGCAAAGATCAGAACGGCAGCCGGTGAGGAGGATTAAGGACGGGTACTGCAGGTTAGTAAATGAGAAGAGCAAAGGTGCTGGGGCCCCAGCCTGCTTACTGAGCAAGGGCGGTGGACCCAGGAGGTGGGGAGACTAGGGCGGACCTCTGGCCCCCAACTCACTCCGCAGGGGTTGTTGCAGGGGGCACTTAGGGTCATTATGCCATTTTCCTAGGAGCACGCAAACATGCATATATTTCTTTCTTCCTTCTTCCCATCCCCCCTCCCTTCCTTTTAAGCAAAACCTCCTCCTATATTCTAAGACGGGCCTGTTCATTTCATTCAGAACTGCCTCATCCTCAGTGGGCCCAGGCCTGGGAGAAAATACAAAGTGTGGAGTCACAGACCTTAAGCCAGCAAAGGAGAGCTTGACTCCAAAACTCATTTCAAGCAGGATTCCTACAAGTGGGAGTGGAAAGGGTGAATGGGAGGTCAGAGGTCCAGCTGCGTTTCACAGAACAGAAGGTTTGAGATGGTTCAGGTTCCAGGGTCATCTAAAACCAACTCCTCAGATTCTGGTCCCAGTTCTGCCATCTGACTCTCTGTGCACCCTTCACTGAATTCTTTTCCTCTCTGGGGCTCAGTCTCCAATCTGCAAAATGGGGGGATTGAACAAAATAACTTCCAGCTGAAGTCCAGGGCAGCTTCTAAGTTAATTTCCAAATGTGATTAACTTTGTCCGTGGAAACTAATTTCCTCCATATATAAATAGAGCATCCTTACGTCAAGGTTAAGTGAGAGCGTGTGAAAAAGCTCTTTGAGAAGTAGATGATTCTTATTTATTTTTTAAAAGATTTTATTTACTTGAGAGAGAGAGAGAGAGAGCACGCAGAGGGAGAGGGAGAAGCAGACCCCTGCAGAGCAGGGAGCCTGCCAGGGCTGGATCCCAGGACCCTGGGGTGAGGACCAGAGCCAAAGGCAGACGCTTAACCAACCGAGCCACCCAGGTACCCCACATGATTCTTTAAGAAAAATTTTTAGGGACACCTGGCTGGCTCAGTCGATAGAGCATGAAACTCTTGATCTCGGGGTCAAGAATTTGAGCCCCACACTGGGCATAGAGATTACTTTAAAAACAGTAATAATAAAACAAATTTTTATGTGAGTATAGTTGCCACACAGTGTTTCATTAGTTTCAGGTGTACAACATAGTGATTCAACCTCTTTTATACATTCTGCTCTCAAGTATAGCTACCATCTGTCACCATACAATACTATTATGGTAGCACTGACTGTATTCCCCGTGCTGTAAATTTCATCCCTGTGACGTACTCCATACCTGGAAGCCTGTATCTCCCATGTCCCTTCACCTGTGTTGTCCATCTGCCCAGCTCTGGAAGATGATTCTTTTCAGATAGTCAAGTCTCCTGAGAGGTTAAGGGTTTGGTTTGGTCACATAACTATCTCAACCCCAGGCTCCTGTTGCACACAGCGGGCGAGTCCATCATAATCCATGCGAGTGTGCCCTCTGGAGTTGTGACCCTGATTTGACTGTCACAGGAAAGCCAATGACAGGTCCCCACTATTCTGAAAACAAAAGCTTCTTTCTGATTTGCCAGTTCAAATATGGGTACACTGGGGGCGCCTGGCTGGCTGAGTTGGTTGAGTGTGTGACTCTCGACCTCAGAGTCATGAGTTCAAGGTGCACACTGGGTATAGAGCTTACTTTAAAAAAAATGGGCACACTTAATGGGTATAGTTTATCCCTAAGTCAGATGACAGGAATTCTCCTTGGAGGTTTTCATCCCTTGATCTACCCTGTGTGGCCTCTGACCTCATGACTGCTCCTGGAGACACCTGCCATGTCATTTTACTGAACACTGCCTTCGGTCCGCTTCTCTTTGAGGAAGCCAAGCTTCTTATATGAGGCCTTTGCCCTTGAGAATCTCATACTCATATATAAGTAAACATGGGCTGGGGCCAGCAGACACATCTCCCTTTACTTTAAAATTTTCATTTACTTAACATATTAAAATATATCATAGAGAAAAGTGCAAACAAGTTTACATATCCTTGAATTTTTACAAAGTGAACATACTCCTACAACCAGTAGTTCAACCAAGAAAAAGCATTTCTAGAACCCTAGAAACCTGGTCCACTTCTACTTGCTTTACCCCTACAAAGGGTAACCACCATCCTGACTTCTAATTACATAGTTTAACTTGTTTTTAAATGGATTATAAATGGAATAATACAGCATACACTCCTTTGCCTTGCTTTTTAAAAAAAGATTTTAATTATTTTTCTATTTGAGAGAGAGGCGTGCCCGTCTTGTTTTCTACTCAAATTTTATTTGTAAGATGTATTCATGGGGGCACCTGGGTGGCTCAGTCAGTTAAGCGTCTGCCTTTGGCCTGGGTTATGATCTCGAGGTCTTGGGATTGAGCCCTGCATTGGGCTCCCTGCTCCGAGGGGAGACTGCTTCTCCCTCTCCTCCCCACTCATGCTTTCTTTCGCTATTTCTGTCAAATAAATAGATAAATTAAATCTTTTAAAAAAAGATTTATCCATGTTGCTATGTGTACCTGTAGGTCATTCTACCTATAACATTCCATTATGTGAATATACCACATTTTATTGTGTGTGGTTTTTAGAATTTGCTTTATTAAAAAATTTTATTTCAGAGAGAGAGAGAGAGGGAGAGAAAGAATGAGTAGGGTGAGGGGCAGAGGGAGAGAAAGAATCCTTAAACAGACTCCCTGCTGAACGGGGAGCCCCACACAGACTTGATCCCAGAAATCATGACCCAAGCAGAAACCAAGATCCACTTAACCGACAAAGCCACCTAGGTGCCGCATATTGTGTGTGTGTTTTTTAAAGATTTATCTACTTGTGAGAGAGAAACACAAATAGGAGAATCAGAAGGAGAAAGAATCCCAAGCAGATGCCACATGGAGCCCAGAGCCTGTGCTGGGCTTGATCCCATGACCCTGAGATCACGACCTGAACTGAAACCAAGAGTTGGATGCTCAACCGACTGCAATACCCAGGTGCCCCGTGTGTGTGTTTAAAGTAAGCTCTACACCCAACATGGGACTTGAACTCATAACCCGAAAATCAAGAGTTGTGTGCTCTGCTAACTTAGCCAGCCAGGCTGCCACCACCTTTTACCGTTGACGGGCATTTGGGTTATCCAGTTTTTGGTTATCGCAAGTATCAGAAAACATCGATAGGAACGTTCTCGGGTATGTGTATCTTTGGGTGAACACAGGCACACATTTCTGTTGGATGAATTCCTGCATGTGGAATCCCTGGGTCATGAACTACACGTATGTTCAGCTTCAGTGGACAGGGCCAATTTTCTGAGGTGGTTGTGCCAGTAATGCCTGAGTTCCTGTTGCTACACATTCTCAACTGTTGGCATTGTTTCTTTTTAGAACTTCAGGCCCTCTGATGGATGTATGGTGGTATCTCATTGTACCTTTTTTTTTTTTTAAGATTTTATTTATTTATTTGACAGAGATCACAAGTAGGCAGAGAGGCAGGCAGAGACAGAGGTGGGGAAGCAGGCTCCCTGCTGAGCAGAGAGCCCAATGTGGGGCTCAATCCCAGGAACCTGAGATCATGACCTGCGCCGAAGGCAGAGCTTAACCCACTGAGCCACCCAGATGCCCTGACTTTTTTTTTCCCCCCGTTTTTTTTTTTTTTAAGATTTATTTATTTAGATGGGGAGAGAGTGAGCAGGAGGGGTAGAGGGAGAGGGAGAATCTCAAGCAGACACCCTTCTGAGCATGGAGCCCAATCCAGGGCTCAACCTCTTAACCCTGAGATCACAGCCTGAGCTGAAACCAAGTTGGACGTTGAACCCACTGTGCCATCCAGGGGCCCCTCATTGCGGTGTTAATTTGAATTTCTGTTGACTAATGGAGAGAATGCTTTTTCATATATGCATTGGTCATGTTTTCATTTATTTTTATTGACACAAATCGCATGAATACATCCTTGTTAGATATATGATTATAAAAATGCATCTGAAGCTAAGATAACACATGAAAAGCTGAAGTCCCCTTAAAACTGATCCCTTCCCCGGGTTTGAGCACTGGGCATGGAGTTTGGAGACCTGAATTCCAGACTTGGTTTGTCATTGGCTTGTGTGAATTTGAACAAGTTCCCTTTCTGGGTCTGTCTCCCATCTTTACAATGAGTGTTGAGTGTTGGACTAGACATCTCTGAAGACCTCTTTGATGTTCTGACCATTGTTTCTGTAGAGGTTACAAAACTTCATGTGGTGGGGAAGCCGTTTGGCCTTATCTCCATCCTACCCTTTTCCCTTCGTAACTGAACCCCTGAGTTTAGCTGAGCCCATGGCTGCCCCCCTAGACTCTAGCTCCCAACACTCCTTATACAACTAGGTGTGGCCATGTGACTAAGGTCAGACAAGAGCATATGGACAGAAGTGTTATGTGCAACTTTCGGGTTGTGACCTTACAAAGAAGCATCATACCCTCCACTTGCCAATCTCCTCTTTCTGCTGACTGAAGAGAGGAGCTAATGGTGGGAACTGGACTTGCCATCTTTGACCACAAGATGGAAGCCAAGATGTGTTGAGGAGGACAGAACAAGGCAGGACCAGGACCAGCACACCATGTAGCTGACACGGTCTGGACTGCTTGGAGAGAAACATTTCCCTCTTAACTATCATTATTTTCGCTTGTTACGACTTACTGAATTTGAATCCTGACTAACACAGAGTAACTGGGGAATCACTTTAAATTGACCAGGTAGGGTTTTTGAGAAAACAATGAGGAAGCCACAATCTTAGCAATAAAAACGAGACTGCCACACAGATTTGGGGGAAAGGCACTCCAGGAAAAGGGGATCTGCAAAGCTTGGAGACTCCACCAGACTTCTGTGTAATGAGGTAATGAGGCAGACCTGGTCAGTTATGGTGCCGTATCTCACAGGCCAAGGATTAACAGTGACTGAAGAGGCTGGTCATGTGACCTGAGCAGGGCCAGTCAGAGACCTCCAGACATTTGTCATGAAGACAGGAAATGATCTTTCTTTGGGATTCTAAGTCATAAAGATCATGTGGCTGTCAAGTGGTAAAAGCCCATCTTAGAATAAAGCCAAGCTGAGACAAACATGTAAGAACTAAGAAGGGACCAGCCTCCATGACAGCCTATAGCCCTAGACCCCACCACACCTGACCTTGCTGAAGTCCAGTTATAAAGACAATCATTTCCTTTTTTTGCTACTGAATTGGATTTCTGCAACTTGCAAAATACGTGGAATGACAGAATATGGGGTATGGCCACTCACAGGCCCTAATTCATGGAACCGGCAGAGTCCATGTGGGGTATGGGGCAGGTCAGGATTCCTCCTTTCCTAGTTGGGAAATTGGTAGTAAAGTGGTGGTTAAAATGCCTGTTTGCTGAGACCCTCAGCTGTATGCCCACCGAGGCTATAGTTTTAGGGGTCATAGTAAAAAAGTAAGGTCGGTGGAACGTAATGGCTATTTGTTGTGGCCTCCAGGAAGGTCCTATGAGACACAGACAAGCTACTGTCTAAGCAGGCACATCACAGGGAACTAGTCAAGTCTCACTGAGAGGCCCTGAATGCTCCCCAGTTGTCTGTGATGCTTGGAATTCTGAGAACATGCCTTGCCAACTGCGGAAGCTCTGTTCTCTCTGCACAAGCATAAAATTACCACTAGTGAGAAGAGGGCACGCAGCAGGAGACAGGGACTGAGGAGGAACTAGATCCCCCAGGACAGCCCACACCCTTCCAGCTTGCCTGCCTGGCCATTGTCTCTGTACACAAAACAGGGGGCTGGAACACTGACTGGCATTGCCAGTGACAAATCCGGACTCCAGAGGACGCCACGTCACACAGACCATGATGCCTGAGGCATTTCAGCCCTTGGTATACCCCATTATAACAGCATCATATTAGGTCCCTAATTTGGCAACCGTTTATTGGGAGATGGTATGGCACAGTGGTTAAGTGTAGAGTTGAAGTTGAACTATGTGGGTTCAAATCTTAGCTCTGATGGCTCAGTGACAGGGTTCTGGACCCAATTCTGCCATAAACTAGTTGAGGGGCCTTAGGTGAGTCATAAGCTCTCTAGATACAGCTCCCTCATTGCAGACCCAGGCTAAATTTAGGACTCCCACTCTACCCTCTTCCAAGCTTTCCCATCTTAGTATATGTCCTACCAGCCACCAGGACTCAAGTCAAGTTCATCCTTCCCATCTAATCTACCTCCTCCCACCCGAAAGTCACCACTCTAGTCCAGGTTACACATTTTCCCATCTGCACTTCGCCAGTGCTGTCAAATGTTTTCATAAAACACAAAATCAAAGTGAGTTGTTCCACTGCTTAAAATCCTTCAAATGGCTTTTCTCTTGGAATAAAATCTGGAAAGGCTCCCCATCTTCCATAAACATGGCTTTTGAGCCCTGCCTGGTTTGGGCCTGGTCTCTCTTTCCAGTTCAGGCCATCTCTTCCTTCATCCTTCACTCTGCTGCAGGCACATCTGCTTTGTGTTCTTCCAGCTCATTCTAGAGAGTTCCCTCTGCCGGGAATGCTCTTAGCTTGGCTGCTCATCCCTCAGGTCAAGGCTTAAATGACAGCCTCTCAGGGAAGCATTTTCTGATCCTTCAAACCCAGTCAGGTCCTGGTTACCTCCTTCATAGCACCTGTCATCCCGTCACTGGTGACACAATCTGCCTCCTGGTTCTCCTCAGGGAGACTCCTCCTCAGTCCACTTAACGTTTACTTCTGGGGGTCTGGTCACATGCAGCTGTCTGCCTCCCATGGGGTTTATACCTAAAGAGCAAGGTCTGTCTCCTCTTTATGCCTACAAGAACCAGGCTGCACATTACCTTGGCAATGATGAGTCTGGGATGGCCCTGAAGAATCTTCCCTTCCACACTAACCAAAAATGAGCTCAGGAACCAGGGGACCGAAGGGCCAGGAGACAAGAAGCTAAGCTAAAATGACCAAACATTCTGGTCTGGTCAGAGCCCTGAGGCCCATCAGTGGCTCATCTCCAATTAGTGTTGGGCCTCCTGGTGGGAGTTCCAGGCTCAGGCTCCTTGGAAGGTGAAGCTTTATGCCTCTTCAAGCCCTGATTTTGACTGGCTACCTCCCCAAATGCTGAGGACAGGGTGAGACCAGGTCCCCAGTTAGCTGCAGCTCCGAGGAAGACAACAGGGAGTCAGAGGGGACTGGTCTCACTAGAGCTCTGCTGGGGGTTAAGAACTCTACATTTTAAAATGGATTGTACTGCTTAAGGTCGGACTTGAGCTTGCTTTGGCCCTAGATTTGGGATTTGTCACTCTGCAGGTGGGCCCTTTAGGTAGGGCCTTAACTTTTACTACGGGAGACATGATGTGAGTCTTGGAAGAAAGCACTCATCCAGGGGCTCAAGCCAGAAACCCATGAGGCCATCCTTGTTTCTTCCTGTTCCCTGGACTTAACAGTTCGGGCAAAACTTGCTCATTCTGGCTCCAGAACATATCCTGAATACATCTACTTCCTCCTCTCCCCACTGCCACCCCAGTCCAGGCCACTGTTGATGCTCTGTGGGGTCTCCAAGAGCCTCCCAACCAGTCTCTTTCTTGCTTACCCTTCCCTTTTCGCACAGCAGCAGAGCGTGAAAAAGTGGAACACACATAACTTCTAGTTAAGAATCCTGCAGATCGTTTTCTACCTAATGCCAAGACCAAGCTTCCTACAGGTAGGCCTGCAGAGCCTACCCTTCCAACCTCCAGTCCTATCAACCCCCCTCTGCTTCCTCACCCTGCTTCCAGAAGCTCTGCCAAGCTCCTCCCACCACAGGACCTTTGCACAGTTTGTGTCATTCTTGTGGCTTCTTCTGCCTTTCCCTCTGCTTTCTGGAAGGATCCTTTCTCGTCCCTCAACCTCAGAGAGGGCTTCTGGACCATCCTCTCAAGAGACACCCTTGGTTGGTTATTCTGTCAAGCCCCTTTCTTTCCCTCAAAGCACAAATTACAATTTGTAATTGCTTTGTTTTATTGTCATCTGTCTCCCTGTTCTCCCTGCAGTGATTCCACACAGACAGACAGGCTGAGATCCATCCTGCTATATCCCAGTACCCAGCACTGTGTCGAGGCACCGAGCAGATGTTCTCAAAAATTCTCTTCAAGAGAAAAGCCTTTCTGGCTTCTAGTTCTCCAACAGTCAGGAACTCTCTACTTGCTTCTCAATTTTGATCCTCAGGCAACGTTTCTGCTCATTAACAAGTAACTCTTCTTTGGGTCTATGGCTGAGAACAGAACAGGAGAGCTCAGGCAGCCTGCCAACATGGGCCTGTGTGGGAATCACCTTCCAGTGTAATCAAGGCACATCTAAACTCTAAACCTGGAGATGTCATTCTAGGCCTCTGTCCCGGTGCCCAGCTCTGGTGCCAGAGGCCTCGGGGTTTCTGGAGCTTTTTATGATACAAGACGCCACTTGCTCTCCTCTACCCTAATGCTCCAAGCCCCTCTGTGAGGCCCCACCAAGTCTGAGCCCTTACCTCCTGGTGGCTTTCAAGCTGAGGCCACACCAAAAGGAGGAGCTGGGGTAGTGGAGGTGAGCCTCAGGGCTGAGCCAGGGGAGGGATGGGGAAGGCTGGGAGAGCCCAGAAGGCTCGTGTGGTGAGAGGGCGCAGGCTGGCAGAAAGCCCCCAGGGCTGCTGGGTGCTGGTCAGCACGGGAGTAGGAAGAGGGTGTGAGGGCAGTTCTAAAGCAGCATTTACTTTGGTTTTCACATCTCCAATGCCCCGGGACCTTTGAACAGTTCTAGCTATTGGTCTTGTGCACGGCCGCCATCACTCCTCCTTCAGCCACTGCAACAGCTGAGGCGTGTAGTAGGTGATGATGATGTCGGCACCTGTGGGGGGACAGAAGCAGGAAGCGGGGAGGGGCCGGGCATCAGCTCTGGGCACACCTTCAGGGAGTCCAGGGCCAAGGAGGGGGCAGGCGGCTACCACGAAGAGGCACAGCCCACGGGCGTCACAACGTTAAGGCTGAGCCCGCGTGCTGTGTGACCCTGGGCAGGTCATTCTCTCTTGCTGGGCCTCAGTTTGCCAATGTATAAAACACAGAGTGGGAGGAATGAGTAGGTCGTTAAGGGCCCTTCCCATGCTGCGTGCACGCCAGCACCACTGGCTCCTGTCTGTGGAGTGATGAGCATATGCCCGTGACACGTATCATCGCCCGCAGTCCTCCAGACAACACGCCTCGGCTATTCGATCCCCGGTTTGCAGACAAGGACACTGAGTGCACGCAGCTGGCGTGGCTACGGTCTCAACACCAAAAAAGTCACCGAGGGCTCTGCTTTCTTCACTGCTGCACGTTTGCTCCTGCAGCTCCACGGCCCCTCCTGGTACTTCCAGGCACAAGACTCCAGGCTGTCTCATGACTTTATTTCCCCACAAAGTGCCCATCAGCCCCATGACATGGGTCAGAAAACCCCGGCTCAGACTGTTTACCTGCGCGGCGGAAGGCGGTCATGGCCTCCAGAACAGCAGCCTTGAGATCAAACGCCCCGGCCCGGGCTCCGTGCCACAGCATGGCGAACTCTCCGGAAACGTGGTACACGGCAAGAGGGAGCTCAGGGTGCTGCCGAAAAGCAGGGGTGGGTGGACAGGTGGGACCTCCGGAGTGTCCCTTCCGCCTTGCCCCACCTGTGAGCCTCTGGGGCCCCGTGCTCGGTGTCACTACTGTTGGCAGCCAGGCCCAGTGTTTTGTTTTTTTTTTTTTTTTTTAAAGATTTATTTATTTTAGAGAGGGGTGGGGGCAGAGGGAGAGAGAGAATCCCTAGCAGACTCCCCACTGAGTGCGGAGCCCAATGCTCAATCCACTATCTTGAGACCATGACCCGAGCCAAAACCAAGAGTCAGATGCTCAACCGACTGAGTCCCCCAGGCACTCCAGGCCTCCCCACTCTTGAACTGGGAAAGCCCAGTGGCTCAAAGGCTCTGGCCAGCCCTGGGGCAGATGCCCATAGTGGTTCCTGGGCAGGGATGCGGTGGTAGGATTCCTGCTCAGGAGCCCAGGGAGTCTGTGGTCTCTGAGTCTGAGACCCCAGAGCCTGCGGACAAACTTACTCCTCTCCCTGGGCCCCGGCTTCTCTCTGCTCTGCCTGCTCACCTTGTCCTTCACCTCCCGCACGATGTCCAGGTAGGGCATTCCGGGCTTCACCATGAGCATGTCGGCTCCTTCCCGTACGTCCCGGGCCTAAGGGTTGAAATACTGTGTAGGGAGCACCCAGGAGGCAAGATGGGAATGGCCCAGCCAGTGGGCTCAAGCTCTGGTCACTCACCACTGCTCGGAGGGCCAGGCCTCGTGCTCCCGGTGGCAGCTGGTAGCAGCGGCGGTCTCCAAAAGCTGGGCTGGACTGAGCCGCGTCCCTGGGAAGAGGAGGCATCAGTGAGGGGGTGGGGGGTGGTCCAGCTTTGGGCGAATGGGTGAGGGGTTTGAAAGCAGACCCCTGCCAATCCCCACTCACCGGAAAGGTCCGTAGAAACAGGATGCAAATTTGGCACTATAGCTCATTACTGATACCTATGGGGAGACAACGGGGGTCAGGGTTCAGACATCCCAGGGTGGAGGGATGGGGGGAGGAAGGTTGTATGCTGGGAAGCAGAAGGCCTGTGGTCTAGTCCCATTAAAGCTCTGGGCCTTGATTTTCCCATGTGAGATACGGAGGTTGAGATGGATCTCAAAGACCCCGTCCAGGGCTGTTTTCACTTCCGTGACTCTAGGCAGGCGTAGGGGCAGGGATGGTCCAGACTCTCTCTGTGCCTTCCCCCCGACCCCTCGCCACACTCCCCCCCCCTACCCTGTTGCCAAGTCCATGCGCCATCAGGGCCTCCTTGATGGCTTCCACGCGTCCATCCATCATGTCCGACGGGGCGACCACCTGACATCCTGAGGGGCAGAGGGTGGCCTTCAGAACCCTGGGAGCCTGCTATCCACTCTGACCTGGAGTTCCTCCTCTCTGACCGTGGCTCACTCACCTGCCTTGGCGTAGGCCAGTGCCACTTCTGCCAGCCGCTGGCGGCTCTCCTCTGCCTGGAATGCCCCATTCTTGCTCAGCAGCCCTGCAGGACAGACAGCTGGCTTTGGGGGAGCATCTCAGTCCCTGGCCCATCCCCCCCAGAGGAGGACTAGGCAGGATGGGGGGTGCAGGGAGGGAGCTCACCACAGTGGCCATGAGAGGTGTAGGGGCACAAGCAGACATCGCAGGCCACCAGGAGGCTGGGGAAGGTCTTGCGCAACAGGCGGATGGCTTCGATAGCCGGGGAGTCCTCAGAGTCGGCTGCAGAACCCCGCTCATCCTAGTGGCAGGGGAAGGACAAAGAGGTACGTCTGCTATGTGAGGCCCTAGAAAAGCAGGGGCCAGACCTCACGGGGACCAGCTTCCTGCACGAGGACGCAGTAAGGACTGTCCCCATTTTGCACAGGGCACTTGACCTGTCCAGTCAGGGTGTCACACCCCTACTTAGCTTTTTGTCCCTACACGGGTGCTGTCATCAGACAGGGGCCATGTCCCCTCACCCATGCCCCAGGGCTAGCACAAGGCTGTAATGAGGCCACTGTCAGTGCGTGAGCTCAGCTCACCCTCACCCGACCCTCCCTGTCTTCCTCTCGAACTCTGCTTCTGATTCTCCACCTTGGGGACCCTGCTGGGGACTCCAAAGACCAGGACGCAGCGCAGGCCCTCTTCCACCAGGGGCTTCAGCATCTCTTCCAGCCGGTTCACCCCATACCTGTGTGGAGGGGGAGCAGAGGGGCTGAAATGAAGCAGGTGGCAGGCAAGGCTCCCCGCACCTCATCACCCCCCACGCTGTTAAGAGCCAAGTTGCACACGGCACCAGGAGGGCTCAAGTCTCACAGTACAGAGAGGGGTGGGAATGCACCCACCAAACAGATGGGAAAACCGAGGCCCCCAGAAGCAGAGCTATGGAACTTAGCTGTGTAAGGTTCTTACTGAACTCCCATTTGCAGCTCGGCTCTCCTTTGCAAGGGACTCTGCTATGACATCTCTGGTGATGAATGGGTAGCTCATTCCTTTATGTGGCTGCCTCTTCTAACTGTGACCCTGAGAAAACTCTTTTCTCTATGGAGCTCAAGTGAGCTTCTCCAGATCTTCTACCTCTTGGGTCTGCTTCCTGGCACCTCCAGCGGGAACTCTCTCCCTCCATCCTCCCCTGGCCCTCCCCACCACATCTCCTACCTGGCCACTCCTGGGAGGCTGTCGATGGGCTGTACATCATCAGGAACATCCCTGCAAGAGCGGGGGGTAGGGGTGGGCTATGGACTGGAAGCTGTGGGAAGGGCCAGTGGTGAGGGAGTGACTGGGAGGGATGGCTGGGGAGATGGGAAGGTGGATGGAAGGAGGAGGTTGGGGTCCAGTGTCTGGTTCCCTGCCTGGCCAAGCCCAGGGCCTGAAATAATAGGAACAACAAGAGTGACAGTGACAACAGAGGCAACAGGACCGAAAGAACACTAATCATATGAAGGAGTCAAGTGGCTACGGACTTGGGGTTCTGAAGCCAGAAGGCCCTCTTTGCCTGCGATCCCAGCCACTTTCTGGCTGGGTGACCCTGGCCAAGTTGTACCATCTCTTTGAGCCTTGGGCCCTTCATCTGTCTTTGGATGGGTTCGTTCATTCATTCAACAAATGCTGAGCGCTTATGATGCACAGGTACTATTTACTCTCTGGAGACACAAAGTGAACAAAATAGACACAAATCCCTGCCCTCTTGGAGAGGACAGTCTAGGGGACACTATCCATACTTTCTTCCCATGACAACTGTCAGGACTGAAAGACAGAATCCACGTACGCTGCTTAGCACAGTACTCGGTATACAGCAAGCGCTCAGTGTCAGCCACTGCTATTATGAATAATCATGACTGCCGCTGTGGGCACGTACATAGCTCTTTGCAATCTACAGAATGCCTTCTCAGCTTCTGTCTTCTCGCAAAAGCTCAGGATGGCAGGCCAGGGTTACAATCCTTATTTTTCAAACGGGAAGACTTGAGATCTCTTCAAGGTTTGTTTGGTTCTGAAGACTGTTGTCCTGAACTCACTCTCTCTCTCTCTCTCTCTCTCTCTCTCACACACACACACACACACACACACACACACACACACCCCTGGCAGATCAGAGGCCTGGACCATTCCTGGGGACTCACGTGACAAAGATGGGGTAGATGAGATTGGAGGCACTGAGGGGTGTGGCGGCTGCCTGCCAGGTGCGAAGCAGCGGGTGGAAGTAGCCGCTGTGCAGAACTGATTGGGGCTGCATGGCGGATAGGGGCAACGCGGAGGCAGGCTGCTGGGCACTGTGGGCTCCTGGGGCGTCGGCTGCACGCTCAGGTCTGGGGTGAAGGGGCAGAGAGCAACAAGAGGCATGTGAGACACGGCCCCTGTCCCCAGGAGATGGTCCCATACCCCGCCTGTGCTCCTCCCAACTCCTCTCTCCACCGCTCTCTGGACAGCGCTGGCCAATCCTTGCTGGTCTGTGACAAGGTTAAGTACAGGAAGGGACATAGGCCCTTCTGGAAACTTTCTTAGCTATCAGAATCAAATAATCTAAGATTTTAGCTTGTATTTTTTATGGTCTCTTTTTCTAAAATGACATTTCTCTAGCAATTCAATACATTTTTATTTTTTATTTTTTAAAAAGATTTCATTTATTTATTTGACAGAGAGAGAGATCACAAGTAGACAGAGAGGCAGGCAGAGACAGAAGGGGAAGCAGGCTCCCCACTGAGCAGAGAGTCCAATGTGGGGCTCGATCCCAGGACCCTGAGATCATAACCTGGGCTGAAGGCAGAGGCTTAACCCACTGAGCCACCTAGGTGCCCCAATACATTTTTTTTTAAAAGATTTTATTTATTTGACAGAGAGAGAGCCAGTGAGAGCAGGAACACAAGCAGGAGGAGTGGGAGAGGGAGAAGCAGGCTTCCTGCTGAGCAGGGAGCCCAATGTGGGGCTAGATCCCAGGACCCTGGGATCAGGACCTGAGCCAAAGGCAGATGCTTAACTGACTGTCTCACCCAGGCGCCCCTAATACAATTTTTAAAAAATATTCTATCAAAAAAAATCGATCTGTGATGGGTTAGAAATTAGTATGAGAAGCTGACACTTAAACTTTGTTCATTCCATGAAAAATGTGTGTGTGCTTGGCAGGAATTTTAGATAAGGAGCAAGAGAAAAATCGCCGATAATTCTACCTCTAGAGAAAAGCACTGTTAACACCTGGTACAGAGACTTCTTGTACCGCACAACACACACTAAGAGGATTAAATAGCACGGGCCTGACAGACAGATAGACCCCCTAGAGGGGGACCACAGGCAGGTTTTTTCCAGCCTGAGCGTCCCCTGCCGCTCCCCAAGCACCAGCCACACTTGGCCACTCTCTGGTTCGCCCCACCCCCCCACGCCCTTTATCCAAAAGGTTCGAGCTCTCCTCTCCACCTCCTCACCCCTAACTCCTATCTGGTGCCCCCTTCCCTCTCCTGCTGAAGCTTCTCTTGCCCAGATCATAATCTCTCTTACATAATAGCTCTCTGTGCTGCAGCGTTGGCGGTATAGTGGTGAGCATAGCTGCCTTCCATAACAGCTCTCTGTGGATACATTTCAGCTCATTCCAGGAGACAGAGCTTCTGCAGGGCATGGTCCACAGTGAGCTCATTCCTGGACTCCCCTGCCCCCCAACCCTGCCCACGGGGTAACTATTTAACTACATGAAGTACAAGACAATGCACCCTAAGTGCCAAACAAGCGAATGTAAGACAGAAGGAAGCTGGGGCGTGCATGTGTTTCTTGAGCACCTACTGCGTGCCAGGCCCTGCCAGGCACCCGTGCACGCGAGTTCGAGGCCCTACCCGCCTGGGCAGGTAGGGCTGCTGGAGGCTGTCTCAGACAGGAGCTGCCCCAAGTGAACCATGAGTCCCAAGGCAAGTTTGGAGGTTGGAAGAAGCTTGTTGGATGAAGGCCGGGTATGGGAGGGGTGGCTTCAACTTTGTTTCTCAGATGAGTGGGTTCGGCTTGGCAGAGGAAAAGGGGAGAGTGTTCCCTCAGGAAGGGAAGAAAGGGGGCCAAGGTGGGGAAGGAGGAACAGGCCGTGGGCTACTGTGAGGACTGAGGAGGCAAAGGTGATGTGTGCACCAGGGAGGGAGGGGACAAGAGGAGGCCAGACTTGAGGACAGGGAAGATGAGGAGGGGGTGGGGGAGTGGCCTGCTCAGGGCCTGGCTTTAGGAAGATAATTTTTGCAGGGAGAGCAGAGCTGAGCCAAGGAGCACAGACACTAGAGTAGGAGTGGGGAGGGGAGGAAAGGGAAGGGCCATCGTAAGGCAGCCAAGAGACAGTCTCTTGGGGCAGAGGCTCTGAGCTTGTGTGACCCAGAGGGCAATGGAGACAGAGACAAGGCAGGAAGAGGGTGGTTGGGAGCTGAGCTTCTGGAGGTGCCTGGGGAGATACCCAGTAGCCAAGTGGGGGGGAAAGGAGCCACCAGTGTCTCCTTGTATGAATGGGACCTCAAGGCAAGGACTTATTCGAGGTTACACTTAGTGAGTTAAGAGGCTAAAACAGCAGGCCTGTGAGCCTGATGTGTCATCTCCCAGGCAGGGAGTGGGGAATGGGGGTCCCCTAGCACACTGATAAGGCCTTTCTCTCCAGTCTCTTCGGCCCCTTTAGCGCCCTCCCAAGCAGCTCAGGGGCCCATTTTTATCCATCCTCCTCCTTGGCAGGGCTGGTGTTATCAGGAGACACACAGGGACCCACCCTCCTACCACACCCCCCTCCCGGCGCCAGCCACATCATCTGACACAGAGGCAAGTCAGGCCTCCCCAAAGGTGTCTCAACCCCCAGATGAGCATTCAGTCATCTGGGAGACAGAAAGTCCTGAGTGCCCATTTTGTGCAAGGTTGGTGGTCGGGTCTGCTAGGGGTTAGCTCAGCTCAGAGAGGTTAAGTCCTTTGCCCAAGACCACACAGTTGGTGAGCAAACGAGCCCGAAATTGAATCTGTTCTAGACAATGAGTACAGGGTCTTATCTACCATACCCCATAATCCTGATGACCACTTGGTTCCACAAGCATCTCTCTACCTCTATTATCCGCCTTGTGGGTGGGAGAGATGGAGAATACACGAGAGAAAAACATACTGTGACGTTATGTGCTGGGCACTGGACTAGGTACTTTTAGATTTTATTAATCAATTAATTTTATTTATGTGACAGAGATCACAAGTAGGCAGAGAGGCAGGCAGAGAGAGAGGAAGGGAAGCAGGCTCCCTGCTGAGCAGAGAGCCCGATGTGGGGCTCAATCCCAGGACCCTGGGATCATGACCTGAGCGGAAGGCAGAGGCTTAACCCACTGAGCCACCCAGATGCCCCAGGACTAGGTACTTTTATATGTATTATCTCATTTCACTGCAGAGACCGTTCCAACTTTCAGTGATAAGGAAATGGAGGCTCTGAGAGGTTAAGTGACTTGCTCCATGTCATTTTGGAGAGTCAAGTTGGATTTTGAACATGCCTCTGATTTACTTCCCAGAGAACAACCTTTATAGCAGGACCCTGGCTTCTGGAATCCAAAGCTGCATTCTAGTGGCCTCAGCTCCCCATCTGTTTTAGAAGGCTGGGCAAGCACAGGCCTCCTGCTTATCAGAAGCAGCAGAAGAGGGCTGCCTAGGAGCTCCGCAGCCCCAATTTTACCATGGAGGTGGGAGGGGGGCAAGGGAGAAGGGTGAGAGTGAGAAGGAGGCTTGATTAGGGCAATTCTACTTGCATCTGTTTAATTTTAGGGTTTAGGGAGAGATCTGCTTTGAGAAACGGCTGTCAGTGCTGAGAAAAATTTTAAAACGTTGAAAATCACCAATCCTGTTCATCTCTTAGATTTTCAAGTGGAAAATGAGGTGCAGAGAGGCAACAGGACTTGTTTGACATTGAGCGGTCAGTCACGTGCAGAGCTGGCCTTGACCATGAGTCTCCTGCCTTCTAGTCCAGTGCCCTGTCACCTCAACCACACATAGTCATTCTGTTACAACAGGCACTTAATAAATAAAATAAAAAAAATGGCTCCCGAGCCAGAGATACCTGTTTGCAGAGCCAAATCCACGCCAAGGCTCTGCTCTGCAAACAGTCCCTCAAGACTGGGAGATTTCCACACACTTGGGTTCGGGGGGCATTTCTTCCAAGTTAAGGGAGCCTCCAAGCCACAATCCTGTGACACCTCACTGAAGACAGCAGCAAGTCACCATGGGACCCAGCACCTATGCTCACCCACATGAGAACAGGTTAGCTTAGCTGGAAGGCAGGGCAGGGCGGTGCAGAAAGAACCTTATTTCGGGGTCACACAATCCCACGTCTTTTCTGTGCTTTGTGACTTTGGGCAAGGCTGCTGGCCTTTCAGAATCTTTATTTCATAATCTATAAAATGGGAATGATATTATCAACTTGCAAAGCTGCGGAAATCAGATGAGAGATAGGAGGTACGTGCCTGGCATCAGGTAGCAGCCCAGTGAACATGTAGCTATTTTTATCACAAGGAGCAGAAGGGAGCTGGAAATATCACCCCCTACCCCAAGTCCACACAGCTGTGCCTTCTGCTCCACTCCCAGGAGGGAGAACTTTCACTCAAACCTGCACCGCCACAGGGTCTTCCCAGATATCTCAGGTGGGGTCCCTGCCTTCCAGCAGCTTCTGTGGTGAGAACTAATCTGGATAGATGCAGAGGCAGAGGGGTGGACTAGATGCTATCTATGGGAGGGGCCTGTGTCTCCAGCGATCAAGCATGGCTTCGTGAGAGAGGCAGGTGTGCAGAGTGATTATGAAGGTATCTCCTTCCTTAGAAGGCAACTTCCCCAATCTGGGAGTAACTACGTTGGGCCCCAAGAGCTGCCACTGTGGGAAGGAGGGTTAGAAGGAGCTGCAAGGCCTGAACGACACCCCCGCCCCCCCCCCCACCACCACTATCATGCTGCTCCCTGCTGAGGATTTCAGAGGCTGTGCTCTTGGTGCAGACGGCTGGGAGCTGCTGCCAGCTCTGGAAGGCCCAGCTGCTAGCTGGGGAGGAGGCAGTCAGGAGGGCCACCTATGGTAGAAGGTGACCAGGGCTGAGAAATCCAAAGCCCCAGAAGGGCCCAGGATAGCAGCTGTCAGGCAGTTCTGAAAGTTCTGAAAGGGGACCAACTAACTTCCTGAATCTCTACCCTGGGTCTGCCCCAATGCTAGATACAGCGGTTAAAGAGAAGCGTGAGACCCAGGCCTTCACCTAGGGCTTTGAAGAGAGAGCCCAACCTTTTCTGGGTTTAGCCATCTGGAGCTATAGGGAGAATCTGCCAGTTCCAGACTCCTAGAACATCCTAAGAGGATCCTTAAAGCTTGTTGATTACATCATTGAAATTGATGGTGAAACTGGTCTCAGAGAAAGGCAGACACGAGCTCAAGATCAGGCAAGAGGTCAGCAGCAGATCTGGGGCTAGAATCAGGGTCTTCAGAAGCCCAGTTCTCGGTACCCACCTTGATACTTCAAGTAGATTTCAAAGCTGTGCTTACCAGCAGAGGTGGGCTTGTGGAGAACTCTGGCTGAAAGGGGGGTAGGGGAGGAAGGAAACAGAATGTTGACTCTGGACTTGGCTGCAACTGGCAGCCATCATGATGGCTAAGCGTTTATATAGGTTTTGGACTCTGCACACGTGTGTTCAAATCCTGATTCTGTCACTTTCTAGCTGAGCGATCTGTTTCTGCACCTGGTAAACGGCGACTTGAACGGACCTCAAGGTCTGCTGTAGACTTAATGGGCCAATGGATGTGACCTATGTTTAAGTCTAGCACAAAGCGGCTGTTACTGCCTCCACGTCCCTCCCCCGTCCTTCGAGGCACTTTGGGCTCTGTACTGATGGAGAACGCCCTAGGCGTCTCCAAGGGATTGGACCCCAGAGAGGGGAGGCAGAGCCGAGAGCCGAGCCCCCAAACGTACAGCTACGCGGGGACCCCAATCCCGGCTGCAGCAGGACAATCTAAGACTCCAAACGGGGGCTCCACAAGGACTCTGTCCCCGGCTGCACCGCCGGCGCTTCAGGCGCGCACGGCACGTTGGGACCTGGGGACAAGGGACTCTTGGTGCCACAGTCCCCTCCTCCAAGTCCGCCATCTCCCCTAGTCCGCTCCCCACTCACCTGGTTCCTCAAGGGCTCCCAGCTGCTGCTCCCGCCACCACTGTAGCGCGTTCTACTCTCCCGGGGCCCACGTGGGGGCGGGGCGGCTCACCCGGAAACAGCTCCCCCCCCTTGCAGCACGCCCCGACCAGCGTGCAAGCCACACCCCCTGCGGGCACTTTGCCTGCGGGCTGGTCTACTCTGGCCGCGGCTCCGCCCACGCCCCCTCGAGGCCTGGCCAATCGGGTGTGTGGAAGGGCGGGCGGGTCCGCGCCCAGCCCCTCTAGGGGCCAGAACTTGAGCCGCGGAAGGCCCACCCGAGCCCACGTTGGGGCGCAGGGGCGGTGCGGCCGGCGTCCCTGTGAGTCTGGCTCCGAGACGATTACACTCTTTGGCGTCCTCCTCTTCCCAGCCTAGCGCATACTTGGCGGTGGTTAATTGTTGAAAGAATAATCGGGTGTCAAGGACATTAAAACAACACCTTAATGCCTAACACAATAGCTAAGTTCATTTTTGCAGACTGAGTATTTTAAAGCTGTTGAGTTCAGCACCAGGCTGCCTTCCAGGTTTTCAGAGAAAATTAATTCCAGAGTAATTACTCAGGGCCAGCTCTGTGCCATGGATTGAGAGATGTGATATGAAAGACTCCGGAAAAGCTCTTGAGTCTGATAGGGGCATCAAACCGACCTAGGATGAGTACAGCGCAAAATTTGACTAAAGGTCTGTGCAGGATTTGGGCGGAGTCTGTGCAGGGGCCGGAGGGAACTGGTAAGGCTTTGGGGTTTGGTGACCTAGTAGTATTGGGGGGTGAAGTAGGGGTGTAGATCAGTATCCTAGCTGAGGAATGCCTTTATAAAGATGCATCAGGGATTGGAGAAAAACTGACTCTGACTTGCTGGAGGCCAGTGGGCTGGTTATTACACTTCCTCTAAAATTTTATTTATCAAAATTGGTACTCCAAACCTGTTTTATACCTCTTTATATTTCAAGTTAAGGCGGCACAAAGGCTTAATGCATGCTAGGGAAATATGACCTGTGTAATTTCCAGCTATTAGAGTTCTGATCTGTGGTCAAATAAGGGAAATGGTGGAAATGAAGTCATATTTTTTGTGCGTTTGAGTCAGGGACAGTACCATGCGTTTTACATTCACTTATTTAATTTTGATGACAACAATGTTACTATCCTCATTTTACAGACTGGGAAGACAGTCTCCAGGGAGATTAAATAATTTGCCCCATGTCACACTGGACTTCCTCTGCAATGCCTGCTAGTAGGTTCCTTCAACTCATAGGGGGAGTTTGGATTCCCTGCTCGTTTCTTTCATGACACCTGTTCCATCTGAGTTTATTGGTAACTAAGCGTAATTAGGACCATCTACCTCAGAGAACCCAAAAAGAGTGAAAAATTTAAGAATGCTGCTGTTTGGTGTAATGTTTTTCACGTTTCTCTTATTCTTGGCGGAAAGACCTGTTTCCATTCTCTACCCGACCCCAAGCTGTTGAAAACAATTTTACCTTTGTCTCTCAGTCTTATCCACAAAAAGTATTGTGAATGCAACAATATGAATAAATCTTAAACATTATGTTAGGCAAAAGGAGTCAGACCCAAGAATACATATTGTATGATTTTGTTTATATGAAATACAAACCAGGCAAAATTCACTTGTGCCGTTGGAAGTTAGGATAGCGATTACCATTGGGAAAGACAGGAAGTGCCCAGATGGGAGGCCACAGGGGCTTATTAGGGTGCTGGTCATGCTGTTTATTGATCTGAGTGTGAGTTACATGGATGCCTGTGCAAATTAATCAAGCTCTACATTTATCTGCACCATTTGGTATTTATACTTTAATAAAAAAGTGAAAAACCAAACAAAATAACCCACAAAATTAAAAAAAAACTACTGAACTATTATGAATGCTTCCCAGGTAGATATAGGGCATTGTGCTAAATGCTCTGAAGTGTATAAAAATAGAGATGAGGGGTTGCCAGGGGCTAGAAGGAAGAAAGCATGGGGAATAAGTGCTTGACAGGTACAGGGTTTTATTTTGGGGTGATGAAAATGTTTTGGAACTAGATAGAAGTAGTGGTTGTACAACATTGTGAATGTGCTAAATGCCCTGAATTGGTCATTTAAAAATGGTTAATTTTATGTTCTGTGAATATCATCTCAATTAAAAGATCAAATTGGGGGGTGCTTGGGTGGCTCATTCAGTTGGGCAGCTGACTCTTGGTTTCTGCTCAGGTCATGATCTTAGGGCTGGCATCGGGCTTCACACTCAACAGGGAGTCTGTTGGCGATTCTCTCTCTTCCTCTCCTTCTGCTCCTCCTCCTGCTCGTTTGCTTGCACTCTCAAAAAAAAAAAAGATTTTATTTTTTTGAAATAGATTGAGACAGATTTTGACACAGGTTACACCAAACAGCAGCATTCTTAAATTTTTCACTCTTTTGGGACTTTTTAAAAAAAAAGTTTCATTTACTTATTAGAGAGAATGAGAGAGAGAGAGAGAGAGAGAGCAGGAGAAGGGGGAGGGTGGAAGGAGAAGCAGACTCCTTGTGACGCGGGACTAGATCCTGGAACTCCAGGATTATGACCTGAGCCAAAGGCAGTTGCCCAACCAACTGAGACACCCACAGGCCCTCAGATAAATTAAAATCTTAAAACAATAACAACAACCACCCTGATTTAAAAGAAAAGATAAAATCGGCTCACTGAATGCAATGTAGTATTCTGGAATGGCTCCTGGAACAAAAAAGGGCGTTAGCAGAAAACCTGGTGAAATACAAACAGTTTGGTATGTGGTGGTTTTTTTTCTCAGGTTTGACGAATGTACTGTGGTTACGTTAAGACATCAACATGAGGGAAAGCTAGGTGAATTGCACGGGAACTCTCTGCACTCTGCAACTTTTCTGAAAACTAAAATCGTTCCAAAGTAAAAAGTTCATTAAAGAAAAAAATGAGAAGCAAGGCCTAGTGCCACTAGAACAGGATCCTAGCTTTCATAAGTTAGTGGTAAGATCTTGAGCAAGTCACTTCTCCCTGATGAGCCTCAGTCTCTCATCAGCAAGAATAGGATTAGGCTCCAAAAGTAATTTCTTTTTAAGAAGATTTTATTTATTCGTTTGAGCGAGTGAGAAGGAGTACATGTGCACAAGTTGGGGGAGGGGCAGAGGGAGGGGAAGAAGCAGGCAGACTCCCCACCAAGTGGGGAACCCCATACAGGGCTAGATCCCAGGACACTGAGATCATGACCTAAGCCAAAGTTGGGTGCTTAACCAACTGAGCCACCCAGATGCCCCAGTAATTTTTTTTTTTTGCTAAGTAATCTTTATACCCAACATGGGGCTCAAACTTACATCAAGATCAAGAGTTGCATGCTTTGCTGAACCAGCCAGATGCTCCTGCAAACATAATTTTGCATGGGTAAAAATGGTAACCTTCCCACTCTCCGAATCCAGATCAGAATCTCTAGGCCTGAAGGGCTGTGGCTTATAAAAGATGATATTTTTGCCTTAACCTAGTAGGCAACATTCAAAAACTTCAGATACCACTATAGGAAAGATAAAGGTGTGCTTGGAAAAGACTGGTTGATAACCTCAGATTCTTCCCAGTTTTTTTGTTTGTTGATAAGAAGTCGCTACACCCAAGGTGGGGCTCAAACTTACCACCTCAAGGTCAAGACTCACAGGTTCCACCAACTGAACCAGCCAGGCACCTCCTAAATTTTATAGTTTTAAGTTGTACTTCCCACTCTCAGGAAACATGGTTTTCTTAGGTAGACAAAGTTTGGGAAGACGTAAAGCCATATGGAGGGAGAGTTCTTTCGGGATTCATTGACAGGAAACTTAACAATGAAGTAGAAACAGACTGGAGTAGATGAGAAGGCGAGCCTCCTCAGACAGGTTTTGCATACCGGGTCTAAGTATGGATTTAATGGGAAGCAGTGAGGGACTAGCATATAGCAAAGTTCCAGGAAGATCTGAGCGGCAAATGGTACACAGGGGAAGCTGGGGCAAGCAGAGATGTAGCAGGAAATAGCTCAAAGGAAGCCACAGGAATCAAGATGGGACTTGAGAGCTTAGCTGAGTGGTGCTTATGGGAATTAAGAATGGATGTTTCTGTTGTGGAGAAGGGAAAAGCCACCAGATCTAATGACTATTGGGGTTGCAACTGTATGAAATGTTATTTATAAATTCATGATTTGAAAAAGTTTTGTAGATTAGAGGTAATACAGCATTGTAGTTGACATCATGAAGGTAAAGGTAGTTCTCCTTGACAGGATTTCAGAGTTCATACTTGAAAGCATTTAAACAGTACAGACACATAGTAGGTACTCAATAAACGTTGAGTCATAGAGCAACTAGTAACGCAGAGTGCCCAGCAGAGACACGGAAAGCTCTTGCTGTGTGTGAAGAGCGGCATCTGCTGGTCATCCAAGGCAACGCAGGATCCCAGATTTCCAAAGATCTGGCTCAGTCCACATTCTGAAAACTATATACAGGGATGATCAGTGTATCCTCCCCAAACGCCTACCATAAACAAGCAGGATGAAGCAGGAGTCATTACTTTTAACAAGAATGTTCTTTATTTGTACAAAGCATAATTTTCCTCAACATTCTTCACTCATTTGTCAACAAAGTTTTGACTGTATTCATTTAACAAATTAACAGTGTCAAACTACACACATTTGACTACCTGTCACCCTCCAAGCGCTCAACTTAGAGACAAACAAAAAAGTGCTCGGAGCACCAAATATCAAGAAAAAGAAAAAAAAAACAACTAGGAGAAAGGTCAACAGAGTCACTTCAGAAGCAGTTAAACAGGATGGTTTTTTGCGGTGAGGATTAGATTCCTGAGCACCATCAGATTTCTGCACTTTGGGACGTTAAGCAGTTTATCAAAGTTCCTGGGTTGGCAGACGTGAGAAACGGAGGGAGAGAGATAGTGGGAACTGGGAACAGAGGAGAGGCAGAAGAGAGGAAAGGAGAAGCACACAGGGAGAAAGTTGTGCCTAGAAGAAATAAAGTTTGAAACTTGTCATGAATTGGAAGAATGAAAAACGAGAGCCACAAGCCTGGGAAATGGACTACAAGAA